AGTTGTTGATCTATTGTACGTCCCCCTTTGATATTCTACCAGTCCCCATACCCTGCCGGTACTGGTGCGTGCTATCAGCCTCATTGAGCCAACGAGGTCGGCCCTCGGTACCTTTATGCTTCCCCCATCTACCAGAGGCATTGGAAACTACTTGGGTGGGAAACTTGCCTAATTTTGCTCAGAGGTCTCCTAGAGACATGAGGATCTTTTACGTGCAGTAAATCTATGACACGGGACCCACGGCTTAAAGTCCCTCCTGGAGGACTTGTTCCCTGAATTTTTCTGCCCTTAAAAATTCCACGACCTCCGCCGGGTTTGAACCCGCGTGCCTTGAGTCATGAGGTGGGAACGTTACCCCTAGACTATGGAGGCCGCTCTCACAGCAGTAACTATGAAGATACTGTCTCATGTGGCTTTCAATCCTGATGATGAGAGCACCAGAATCCTCCATAACAGCAATATACATCTCCCAGATACATCATCATGTTTCCCAATTTAGTAAACATCATGTCTGTTTGTGGCTTATTTGATGCTGTCAGTACCGCAGACTATATAGCACTGAATGTTAGGATGATCACTAAATTATGAATTGGAAATAATGAAGAAGGAAGTGGTCATGGCTTAATTCAAAGTACTATCACAGCATTTGCCTTGAGCAAATGAGGAAAACCTTGAAAAATCTAAATTAGGACACCTGGTTCTGGGTTCAGATTTGAACCCTCGACCTGCCAAATACGAAGCAGGAGTGCTACCAACTTTGTGTGATATATGATGCTTAGAATTTGTGTGGAGAAAAACTTCATGGCAGCAGTTAAAACCAATGGAAACTTCCTACACCTCATACAATTCTCATCTCAGGAACCTGGCTCTGGGCAAGACAGGACACAACTGCTTTCATCCAAACTATGATTAATTCAAACCCTATTTTCGAGACAAATACTACCTTCCTTCCTTAACCTCTCAACTGTCAAGCCCTGGAACAAAACTGCCTGCCTGCTGCCAGACTGCTTAGTGGTATGTGCAGTTGTGCAGTACAACACACACAATCTTCCTCAAATGGACTTCAAACAACAGCAGATACACATCACACGAAAGCCTTCTCTTTTCTCTAAACATCAGTATGTAACAGTGATGCTATCTACTGATAGAAATTCTATACTAAATGATTAATAAGAGCCAGTCTCTTTGGCTGTGGCAGTCTTAATTCAAATACACGACACTAATATAGTCAGTACATGGTGTGCTAAGGGTAAAGGTACCAAAGTAGGCTTACAAGCTAATCACATTGTCTGTGTATCACCCTCTTGCAACTTCTGAACCAATTGGGCAATTTATAAAACTTGGTATGAAGGTTATGCCACTGATGGCCACCCCAAACATCATACTCCTCTACTGCCTACAAACAGTAACAACACAGCAATCATGATGATATGTTGTTGATATGTATGGCAGATATTCATTCTGCTCTTGGGTCTCTGAAGCATGTGCATACGGACAGTAAAGCTATCCCTGTCACAGGCCGTGAATGCCCATAGGATTGTGAGACGTCGAGGCTCCCACTTTTCTCTAGACAATCGGCTCACAGATGGCGGTAAGGTTGTCAGCCACATGCGCCAGCCACCCTTTAACCCCTATGAAGATTACTGGCACTCATTTCTGTTAGAGGCCGAGTCAACCCCAGGGACATAGTGTGGCTGGAAGGATTAGGTCAAATGAAAATATCCATGATTTATTCTAACCGTCTTACAGTGCATACATTTATTCACCTTACTCTTCTCTCTTGCACTACATGTTTCAGCACAAAAGTGCCATCTTCAGGTGCTTTTCGTTGTACGTCAAACTACTTCATTGCATGCCCTGTTGTCTTTATACTAAAATATATACTCGTCATCTATACTGATAAATTTTAAATATTAAAAATATTAAAACTGTTCAGGATTTGTCATCCTTATGTCGTATCTCAATACGCGAGTCACACCTATCTTCCTCTATCAGAGCATTCTTCCTACTTTCGTGTGTGTATTGTGCTTTGTGTTGTGTCTTGCTCCTGTGACTGCGTGTGTTATACTGCTCATAATATCCACCTCATCAGGACTCGAACATGCGACATTCCAGCTTATGGCATAGTGACTCAACCAACTAAGCTACCGCGTGCCCCCGCATATGGGCAGTGCTGTTTATATTTCAAAGTTACATGTTCCTGCCACCTTCGGGGTTAGAGTACGCGAGTGAGTGTTCATGTACACAGGGTGTCATAATTACACACCTTGTACATAAACATCATGCCTACACTTATAGGAAAGTATGTTTCATTGGTGAGATATGGCAACATTGCATAGGTAGTACTGCAAGATGAGCATAGAAGTCACTTAGACTACAGACTCATATAAGGTAACTGCTGTTGATGTGATACTGATAAGGAATGCAAGCATATCCTGCTGCCTGCCCACACAGCACCACAGTTAACGAGACATATATACCCTTGGTTTGGCCTACATGGAAGTACAACAGAGCAACTCACACAGCATCCTCATGGCTAGTTGTGACAAGGTGCTCCACCCCATTGTGCACAACGTTGCCTCGAATACTAGACACTGCTTTTGCTGAGATATCATTGGCTATAACTTCCCTCACTCCTGGCACTTCTTTGGCATATCTGATGCTTCGGAGACCAGACGCCGATAATGCCTCCAAAATTGTCAGACCTTCCTGAAATTCAATAGACGTTCTATAAAAGCACTGTGGAGTAATTGCTATGGTTTTTGCTTCATATTTGGGGGGGGGGGGGCTGTATCACAATCTTAGCTGCTAGCTGACTAGCCTGACACACTTCCAATGGTTTTCCTCAGTGCATCCTAATCTCTCTCTTCAAATAGAGCTGACCACTTCTACCACAACTGCCCCAATTCATCACTCACAACAACCTTTACATCCTATACCATTCATTCATTTTATTTCCCCATTATTTAGCAATGTTTTCATTATCTCAGATTATATGTCAAATGGTAAGATAAGTGGGTAGTGAATTGGAAACGATGTTGAAGGAAGCAGCCTGAACCAAAGCAGAGGTATGATCCTCACATCTGCCTGGATGGACTGTGGAAAACCAGTCAGGTCAGTCAGTTCCCTAGCTGAGATCTGAACCTGATACCTCCTGAATACAAGTCAGAAGCATCACTGCTTCAGCCAACTTGTTCAGTTCCTATGCCATGCTGTTTACTTCCACTCCCCCTATACACCATTACAGCAAACATTCTTTCCTTCTGTCAACAGGATGATGACTTTCTTGCATAGTGTGATGTCACATGCACTGGGACAGGGCTGATGTTGCTACTATACCTCATACTTTCTGCCTGCTGTCAGCTCCTCTACCGGAATGTCCTCAGAACCATTTTTGTGTACTTTCTCGTTTTCCTTCACTTTCCTCTCCCACACTTTCTGATGATGGTCCTCAGCACACAACGTCAGAACTGCAATACTTTAAACAAATGTGTTGCATCCATCTGATGCTCACTTTTCTATTTGACCTGACACACAGCACAATCTGACATAAGATAGCGATAGAAACCACACTCCCAGCCATCAGTCTACATCTCCCATGCATGTGCAACTGCAATCTCACTTGATCAAAAAATAATCATTTCTTGGGGTGGGTGTTTCTGTTATTGTGTCACATGTTGTGTTTGACGTAACTTTAATATACGAGTAACTGCTGTTCCTTCTCCAGGCAATGGCAATGCCAGGTGGGTGAGCAACTGAAAGCAGTGAAAAGATAACTGACAAAGTAGGATTTAAGGTTCTCATAGTGGTGGTCATGAAGAGTTCTGTCTTCAAGGATGTTGTGTACTCCACTGAAGGTCAACTGATGCTTCAGTGGAACATGACACCTCCATCTTCAGGGTTGAAGAGTAAGCCAAAGTAGGAAACCTGCATTAAAGCAGACTGCAAGCAGGAAACACATGACTTGCTAAAATGAGGGATTATGTAGAAGCAGAAGGAAACTAGGAACCCAACCCACTAGTTACCATCACCCCTATAAGAGAACCAGGGTGAAACAACAGGAGAGAAGGGAAGGGTGACTAAGTGTGCACCTTGAAAGTATTGGTTGTGCACATATGGGAGCATGGGGGACAGAAGTCACAGATATGTGTGGTGGGCAGAGAATTGCGGAGGATGGGAGAGAAGTCATGTGCATGGGTTATGGGCATGCAGTTGGGGTTATAAAGAACAAGAGTGGAGGAAGGATAGGGACGGAAGGAAGAAAGGAAGGAAAGGCTCAGGGTTGATGGGTGCCCAGAAACAGCAGGGTTGACGCCCTTCATCCACACCCTGGGGTCTCTCCATGCCAGACCCCAGGGTATAATGCTCAACATCAATGTGGTGTCACTCTTCACCAGGGCCCTGATTAGGGAGGCCATGAGTCTCTTAGCCCAACATTTTAATGACATCCTGTTGCTCTTCTGCCATGTCCTGACCTCGTATGTCAGCACTGGTGACCATTTCTACAGACAGAGCATGCCTACAGCTATAGCACTGTCTTCAGTCACTACCAACTTCTTCATAGAGGACTTCAAGGTGTCCCCACTTCTGTTACATGGATGACACTTTCATCATCTGGCCCCATGGTCCCAAAAAACCAAGGGGCTTTCTTAACAACATGAACAGTGTCCACATAAATCTTCCCTTCCTTGGCATCATTATATAAAGCAGACTCAAGGGTTCCCTGGGTCATTAGGTATACCATAAACGATAACAATCAATTCAATTTTACTATGTAACTTTCACAAAATATCCTGCACCCCACTAATCAACTAGTCACCCCCTCCCTTGGGGAGCACACCCCACACTTTTGAAACCACTAGGTTAGAGGGATTAGGCATAAGCAAAAGGCCCATAATCTGTTTTATTTTGTTAATATTTCCATGCTTTGGGCACTGTAACAATTATTCTGCAAAATTTGTCTGATTATATATTGGATTTTTATTACAGGATGTGTGTTTAGTCTGTGGGTTAAGTACTTCACTGGCATGTACAAGGCTGTCTGTCATATCTCATATACTGGATGGCTAGCAATGATCCCTCTATTTAATGTTCTGTTTAGGCTTAGGGTGGATTTTTCTGTAACTGATACTCGGACCTGAGGATGGTGCTGTAGTGCCATGACATGCCGCCCCGTTTATAAACTTCATTAATCAACGTACAGTGAATAACTGCATATATAACAGTGTACCATTAGTTTGCATATCATCCTAATATATTATACTACATCCAGTTACAATATTCTTTTTTCATGTAGTAAATGAACGGTACTTATGAAATACAGTATGTGTCCATAACATATGTGATTAATCTCTTACTTAGTTCTATGACCTTTATTTTAAGCCAAGTTACCTACGTATTAATGACTGACTCAAGACACATTAAAACTCTACTGTGTAGAGTGTACTGTGTAGGATGTGTCATCACCAGAGAGTAAAGCAGATCATTACGGCGTCATTAGGAAGTTACTAGACTCTAATTGCAAAAATATACACACAAATTCACCATACCAGATAGCTCAATGAACACACAGGAGTTTTCTTCGGCCAGGTTCCCTACCTACTCAAGATAAGACATATCCCCCAACACATTTTAGATAAAATGTACCTTAAATCCCTATTGAATTCCTGGACAGGGTTGTAAAACACATCTCTGGAAATAGAGAGCAGCAACTCGGCCTTGCCTTCAATGATGACTTTCTTCTCACTGTCAAGACATTCTTTCTCTTTTTCATTCTTCTGATCCATTCCAAACGTCCTTGAATTATACTTGCGGAAACATCCCTAGATTGAAAGAGTACAATTACAGGAGGAATAAATGAGATATAAATTGTACATCTGCTAAATTACTATGATTTGAAACTTTTACAGTGACTCTATGCCATGAAGTCTTTGTAAGTGAACAGACGTGTCAGTGTACAGTGAATATCTAATGTAAGGTAGGGCCAATGACAAGCAACATGGGCTGTGAAGGCTGACCACCTGATGCGACCCAGCTTTCCTTCACTGACATGTGCTACGACAATGAAGAACATACTCTGTGGTATAAATACAACACACAGTTGTAGTACTCATCAAATCAACCCCTGATCATCATCAACCTCTGAAATGCCAGATGCAAACTTCACTTCCAAATGGCTGATCATCCAAGGCGACTCCACTGCAGACGATTATTGTGCTCAGTCTGATGAACTACACACAGACATTATGAAACACCTAATACTACTACCAACATATACAGCAGCCATGGCACTACTCTGAAGATGAAGCAGCTACCTTTAAAACACCTGAACTTTCTAACTACACTGTGTCATATTCCATAAATCAGCAATCTACACAGCCAACACAGTGAGAACCTAAAATCTCAAACGTTCCCTACATTTTATTCGAACTCGCTCATGTAATCTGATTGAGATGTATCTGGCTCTGGCCAATTCTATGTACTGCGTAAATTGTGGCCTATTTTGCAGAATTTGCAAACATTTCCTAAGACACAGGAAAAAGATCTTCTTTAAACCAAACTAAACTTCCTAAGTATCTGGTGATTAGTGTCCTCTAGAATGTGACATCAGGAAGTGCGGTATTCACCAACGATTCGGAGGAATATGTTACTGCTACTTTCAAGGCAACATCAGGAATTCTACCGTTTTCTAATCAGTTTCACTTGTGTGGCCTTATTTCTCACGATCTTGGTGCTGACCTGTGTTCTAGCCGGAAATTTCCAAAAACGTGGCACTCAAAGCAACACGAAAAACTTACGTGAGATAATATCTTGTAACCCGGAAATGTACGAAGAATTAAAGATTTTACTCGCAGAAATGTACAAAGTATGAAAGATGATTTTATTCGCTCTATAACCATTCCTTTTGTCACATATTCCCAAGTCACTTAATCTAATACATTTCTTCTAGCATTGCAATGTACCCAACACGCCGTAAAAATCAACATATGTACACATTTCATGAACTACCTTACTTTCCCTTAAGAAAGGCTAAGGGGATATGAATACAGGTACACACTGTGCCTGCTATGTGGTAAAATGTTGGGTTCAAAGATTTGAATACTTTTCCAGCATTCCCTACGTATCGCTACCTATTATATCTGCATCATTCTGATGCGTTCTGGTCAGTTTGGTTATCGCTGGTTACCTCTGTTAGTTCTGGTACAAATTTGTCTCACTTCATCGCTGCCAGACACGGTCAAGGAAAATAATGTCTCATCGCCTTTCCTTAACCAGTACATGTCATAGATCTCATAGATACCGCAACGATATGGCTTACGAGTGAAATGTAGTAATCAGTTTAATTAATTCGTTTTTTAATTCATCGTGTAGAAGAAATACATTACAGGACATGCCACACTCTATTATACTATTATAGAAATACAATAATGACTAAAACTATAGACTTATTAGGAATATGTAGCAAATATTCAAGAATTCTTCAGGGGGATAATCTATTGAATAACATCACACAATAAGCATGTCTTGCAGTTCCTTTTTAAAATGGATAATGTTACATACTTGCATAATATTGTTACGCAATTTCTTATAGAAGATACTTGTGGATTACCGTTAAACAGTTCTAAATTATTTACATATCTAAGATAGTCAATATTTGTTGTGTTATATGTATGTACTTGTTTATTAACAGTGCAGTTACACTTTTCTTTTACATACAAGATTGTTTCTTGAATGTATAACGAGTATAATATCAAGATCTTTAGAGCCCTAAAGCCACTAAACTATCCCTGCACCAATCCAGCTGTTTTAAACACCCAGCAATGTAATAATCTGTGGTAGTGTTGAGCATTATGGGTAAAGCTCAGTCGGTATAGCAACCGATAGCGACTATGTGAATCACGATATAGCGATTAGCCACGGGGCTGGACGACCGAGCAATTGGGGTTCGATTCCCGGTGGGGGCAAAATATTTATTTTTTCCGTAAAGTCCAAACGGTCCAGACCGGCTGTAGTGCCACTCAGCCACCCATACAATGGGTACTTTGGGCAGTTACCCTGGGTCTTATGTGGAAAGGGCATGCAGCTAACCACTGAACTCCAGCTAAAACTCATTCCATCAAATTCTCCATAAGCATTATCACCAGTACGGGTACAATAGGACACATGGAAGCCGACGTGCCGAGGGGACCCAATATGGATTCCACCTCACACTATATGAAATCTTAGCTATTGTAATCTACTGAAAACAATTTTAAGTATTGTAACTTTATTCTCTTATTGTAATCAGCCAATGTACAGTAACTGACTTGTCCTATATCCTGTAACACTGATATATAGAGACGAAATAAATAAATACAGATGTTGAGAATCGTTCAGAATAGTGGGCGTATACCTTCACTCCTCCGTACGTCTATATAGTGTGGTGCTTAATTAGGTCTGGGAATAACTTTGCCATACCTTCACGTCAAGTCTAATTATAGCGAACAGGAAGGTCAACACAATGAGGTCATAAATTTCATGTTTTATTCCCCAGGGTTCATAAACAAAATGTAAGATATTCTCCAAAATACATTTCTTTTCACATGATTTCATAAATTGGAAGTATTACTTGATTGCACATATACTAATTATTGGCTTTCATGGTGGTTACTATAGGTGTTAATTTTGTTCTTCTGTTCTTACACCCTATGATGGCTGAAGTTCTTTTTTTATACTTCCTACCACTACGGGTTGGATGGCCGAGGGATCGGAGTTCTGAGTCTCGATAAGGGCAAGATTTCCTCCTCTCCACTTTATCCAGAAAGGATCTGACACATACCCAGCCTCCTATCCAACAGGTGCCGGAGGCTCTTTCCCCGGGGATAAAGCGACCGGAGCGTGAAGCTGACCACACCAAGTAGTGCCAAGGTCAAGAATACATGGATCTACACATAACTCTCCCATATGTCTTCAAGGTGTAGTGATTACTTAGTTAAGCACAGGGACAATTTTATCTTTAAATTTGATTTGTCCTTTGGACCTGCATCTAGTACCAAGCTCAAGAATGACTGAGCTGTACAACCACTCCCCCATTCATCTTCATGGCATGGTGCAAAATTATTTAAGCATATGTACAGCTAAACATTAATGACCCCCCCAAAAAATGAGCGTGAAATTTGGCACATGGAACATTAAAAAGCAGGTTCACATGCAACAGTTGCAAGAGAAATAGCGAAGTAGAAATTAGATTTCATGGGAGTACAAGTTGGATGGCCACAAGTGACATGATTCCTGGCACTACCAGAATTTTTCTCAGAAGTAGTGGGTCTGGAACGGGGTCCACTCAGCCTCATGAGGATAATTGAAGCGCTATTTCAAGGAAATGCTGGCTCCGGTCTAGAAAACCGAAATTAACGACCGTGGGGATTCATTGCGCTGACCACGCGAGACTATCTATCCGCTAGGCACTAATTTCACCAACAAGCGGCAGTCTCTCGGTCGGTATAGTTCACTTGTGGACTAAAACCATGGAGTTTAGTCTTAGGGTGTATCACTCTCTTTAAATGATAAAGATCTTGTTTTCACTTATTTTTTATAACTTTGATACAGTGCTTATTCTGGTAACAGAAATTTTGTATGCAGGTTTGTCATATCTAATTTTTATAGTTTTATATGGTATGTTGTGATGTGTACACAATTTGTGTATATAGTTGTATTATAGTATTGGTGACTTATATACAATAAACTTGACTTGATATATATCTGGAAGCTGTATTGCCAAATACAGATTTCAGGAACAAATAAAGATATCAGTATGAATGAAAGTAATCTGTGGACACAGACAGATATACTGAAAAGATGTGCAAAATTAACCCTTTAAAATACCCTGTGGTCTTTGCAGTGTATTATTTATGGCTTTCAAATTATGTGATGCTTATAGGACATCCAGCATCCAGCTGTTACATACAATATGCAGAAACAAATATTACTTGGTCCCTTTTTACAAATTTAATGAAACACAAAAAAGAAGAGATGTGTGGAAAGCATGTAGCACCTGTACCATATAATCCTTGTTCATCTGTGCCTTCCAAACTTCTGAAAATTGTCATAGTGCCCTGACATTGGATAAGACTTGCCACCCCTGCTGCAGAATATGAGTTCGGGATGTCTTGTTAAATAAATTATGAACAATAAATGTTAACTTGGAAGTGTGTAAGGATGTAAAGCGAGGTAACATGAGCTACACGTGGTGAGGCTGGGGGGGGGGGGGGGGGGGGGGGGGCATGGGTCGATGTTCATATATATTTATTTGTACAGTTCATTTAGGGGCATGTAATAGCATAGTTGGTTGAGGCACTGCTACGAGACGGAAGATCATGGGTTTGATTCCCAATTAGGTTACTGTATTTTTTCAATTGACCTAATCCTCCCAGCCTCACTATGGTCCCAGGGTCAACTCAGCCTCTAACAGAAATGACTACCAACCTGGGGGTAAAGGGCAGCTGGCATGTATGGCTGACATCCTCACTGCCATTTGTGAGCCAACTGTCTAGAAAATGTGGGAGACTCAATGTCTCACAACCCTATGGGCCTCCACACTCTGTTACAGGGATAGCTTTTTTGCATTTCCAGTTCATTTAACAATGATCTGAGTTGCTCTGGCTATACAGTGTTGAACAATTTGATGACTGCGAATCAGAAATGAAGAGGAAGGGAGAAGTCAATGCCTACTTCATAATAATATCTGAGCATATGCCTATTGGGCATGAGGAAAATACAAGTTAGAAGCTGCATTAGTACAGCCAACTTGCTCAGTGATAACCATAGAAAACCTCAAATAACTTCTGTGGTAGCCTGAATAATGCCTGCAGTGTTATCACTACATTAACTTACTTGTGCGGTTATTCCATGTCAAGAGACTTTGAGTTGCTTTCATCTACACTTCTGCTGGGGAAACTTCTATTCACATCCTTTCCAGTTCATCATTCAAAATAACTCAATACAGCAATGCTGATTTAATGTTTTATACACAAACTTCACAGTACTGTAATGTGTAAAGCTAGGCAATGACTTGGTAAACACATTCCCTAGGTTATGCAGTCAACAGAGGGACCCATTGCTAGGTAACATTTGGTTAAATGCGTTCCAATTCCAATGCATAACACCAAACATGCATCCTTGGGACAATTCACTAAGGAGTACTGGTTATCACAGGAATTACAATGGTTTCCAATACAACAAAGTTACAAAAACAGAGTAACAGAACAGTAAAACAGGATGATCTCTATTTGGTTCTCCCAAAGCTATGACAGGAGGAGAACACACACAGGCAGTACACAGACAGCAGTACAGAGCAGACCGAGCAACAGAGATAGCTGCCTGCAGTTCAAGAGAACTCGGCAGGCTAAAGCTGAAGACTTTATTTTATGTGGTGCAGTTACAGCAACCTTTAGAGTGTTATCATTGTGTGCAGTTGTGTTATAGTTACAGTAAGACTGAGAGTGGACTTGCTGGGAATATCCAATAAATTGACACGCCAATCCAAACCCATGTCTTTAGTCACTAATACACATGACAGTATCTTTCTGCTTACAAATAATTCACAATGAGCCTCTATAACACAATATAAATTGTTTCTTCAGTCATCAGATAGGCATTGCCTCATCTGTATCTGATGTTTTACACATTTACACTGCAATAAACACACTTCATCGTTACTGACAGGTGGTCACCCTGGTACTGCTCACAGACCCAAACTGTCACAACTTACAAGTTATCTGAGCCACAAATGTTCCTAACATTTCTTTATTATCCGGAGCAGCCTCGACATCCACAGTGAATGCACTCCACAATGCGACCCTGAAAATGGTGAATATAATTTCATTTCAGCCACATACTGTTATGGTGTCTAGTACTCATGAGACAACAAAGCACACTGTTCCCAAAATATTACCCCTATTTCGCCTTCTTATGGTTGCATGGGCCCAACTTTCATTGATTTCAGTAGCAGCTCTTGTGTCTGTAAAAGATTTCTGAAGGTGTGTCATCATCAGAGCATGGTGTACATCATGACATAATCATCAGAAAGTTAAGAGATTATATTTTTGACATATGTTAGGAACCAAAATCACCATACTAGCAATCTCAAATGCACAGTACTTTTGTTCCATAAGATTACTTACTGATGGTATGATGTACCCTCAAACACACTTTAACCCTTTGACTACCAAGCCCCACCACAGACATACCTGCTAGAAATACCAAGGCTGCTTGTGGGGGGAGACCAGCCACAAAACCTCCACAGATTATGTACAAATAACCACATATATTGGTAATATGAAAGCCTGTTCTTTCCTCTAAATACTGATAGATCATGCTTTATGCCATCTACTGACAAAAATGATGTACCAAGTGATTAACCCTGAGCTGATTCCTACAGCTTCAGCAGCTCTGACATAGATACACTTAACCAACCTGATCAGCTTGTGGCACACTCATCTCCCATACATACACTTGTTCAAGTCATTTTATTGTATGACAGCCTATAACTTTATAAACTTAAAAACAAAAGCAGAACATAAAATTTGGTTTCACAGACAGCAACATTCAGATGAATCCGCTGCTTCCATCTTGAGGGTAGAATTTGGAGAAATAGTACACGCAGGGAAGACATGCTGGGGCTGTGAGTAGTCCAGTGGAAGTACATAACCTTGGAAAGAGGGTGGGGAAGGAGGGATTACACAAAATGGGGAAGAATATGCAGAAGTGTAAAGAAGGTGGGAAAGCAAGGATAGCATGAAAGGAGGGGCAGAAAAATAAAAAAAAAAAGATGCTCTGGAAAGGGCATAAATTCACAATCTGTATTATTATTATTATTATTATTATTATTATTATTATTATTATTATTATTAATAGTATTATTATTGGAGGGGGTGGGTTTCCCCATGCACCGTGACCAGTTTGATCTATTGTACGTCCCCCTTTGATACTCTACCAGTCTCTATACCCTACCGGTACTGGTGCATGCCATCACCCCCGACTCAGCCAGCGAGTTCGACCTCTACTGGCTCAGCGGTACCTTGATGCTTCCACCATCTACCAGAGGCGTTAGAAACTACTGTTGGGCGGGAAATGTCCTATAATTTGGCTCAGAGGTCTCCTTGACACATGAGGTTCTTTTATGTGCCGTAAAGCTACAACATGGGATCCACGGCTTAAAGTCCCTCCCGGAGGACTTGTTCCCTGAATTTTTCCGCCCTTAAAAATTCCACGACCTCCGCCGGGTTTGAACCCACATACCTCGAGTCATGAGGTGGGAACGTTACCCCTAGACTATGGAGGCTGCTTTGTTGCCCTGTATCCTACTATGTCCCACACAGCCATCAGATATACACTATGTTTCTCACTTCACAGAACAGCTGCTAGGTTGAAAACACGAAACAATTTCACAAACTTACTTCCTCAAGTTTCCCTTTTGGCACTCTGCATATGCAATTTGTGCCAAAATTGGTGTCCCTTGTTTGGATGCATCGAAGGCAGCACAGGTTTTCATAGCCTTGTTTTTTCCACTTTGCAATTAAATTCTTGTCGGCTATGTTCTCTCGCAGACAGTATTCATACAATTCTGCAGTAACAAACAGAGCATATTGTGTCAAAAACATCCTGAGGATCATCAGATCATTACATCATGATCAGAAAGTCACTAGATCCTATATTAAGTATATGACATGAACCAAAACCATAATTTTGTTGAACACATTGGACTTTTCTTCTGTGTGGTTGACTGACCGCTTAAATTATGACATACCCTCAGGGAAGTTGGAGCCTGGTGATAATCTCAATGTAAGTCTACTATTTAATGACAGCAACACAAAATACTGTCTTCTAGTATGTGATGATGTGAAGTGTGGTTAATATACAGAAACATTTCCAGGAATCTGCTACCATCAATCATCAGAGTTGGGTGGTCACCAACGTGAAACCCACAGATGTCACAAACAGCAACACAGAATCAATTTACAAAATACAAAGAGATGAAAAATCCAAAGAACACTAATATAATTGCTCAAGAAGGTGATGCTTCATGGGTCGGAAATCAACATATTCCATATATTTTAATACCAGACTCCATGATTTTCAACTTAACAAATTTCACTAAATGTATTTTTAGTACCATATCTGCTATAACCAGTCATATTCTCCTCCTCTCTTATTTACACATATATTATATTAATTTAAAATGAAAACCAACAATACCCTGGTAGAGTAATATATCTAGCAATTCCACCTTAAAACGTATACTTTCTGAACGTACGTCATATTAACTGCTAAGCTAACCTTATTTAGTACAGGATTCTCCTGCCAATAATTACCACTGATATTCAACTTTGCTTTATAATATGCCATTAGGAAGGCCCAGGGAAACCAGGTGGAACTGAAATTAAATGGGACACATAAGTTGCTGATCTATGCTGATAATGTGAATCTACTGAGTGATAACATAGATACACAAAGAAAAACACAGGAACTGTAAGTGACACTAGTGCGGAGGTTGGTCGAGAAGTAAACACAGAGAAAACTAAGTATATGTTGTGTCTCTCAAAACAAAATCATAACAAAAAACAGTTCTAATATTGGGAATGACAGTACTTACTTACTTATGGAGCTGTGCCCTTCTTGAGGAGCCCCCAAATCTGCAGCTACTCAAGAATTTCCCAGAAATTTATGGAACTCAAAGGTTCATTACCATGTTCACAAGAGCCCTCCACTGGTCCCTATCCTGAGCCAGACCAATCCAATCCATACCATCCCATCCTATCTCTCTAAAATCCATATTAATATTGTCCATCCACCTATGCCTTGGTCTTCACAGTGGCCTCTTTCCTTCTGGTTTTCTCCTTGACTTAATCATTCTAATTATACTTGGAGAAGAATACAAGTTATGCAGTTCCTCCAACCTCCTGTCACTTCATCTCTCTTCAGTCCAAATATTCCCCACAACACCCTGTTCTCAAACACACTCAGTTTTCCTCCCTTAATGACAGAGACCAAGTTTCATACCAATACAGAATTACAGGCAAAATTATAGTTTTGTATATTCTAATTTTTATGTTTTTGGACAGCAGACAAGAAGACAGAAGGTTCTGGATTGAATGGGAGCAAGCATTACCCAAGTTCAATCTCCTCTTAATTTCCTCCTCAATCAGGTTTTGATTTATCATCATTATCTGAACTGTGCCACATTTTCAAACTACCTATTTCCTGTCTTTATGTCACGATTTTGCCCTGCATTGTGGTGACAAGACAGCAACATATACTTAGTTTTCTCTGTGTTTACTTCTAGACCAACCTCCTTACTTGTGTCAATTAAAGTTTGTGTGTTTTTCTTTATGGTATCTATATTATCACTCAGCAGATTCACATTATCGGCAGAGACCAATAGCTGATGTGTCCCATTTCATTTCAGTCCCACCTGGTTTCCCTGGACCTTCCTATGGGAATATTCTAAAGCAAAGTTGAAAAGGAGTGGTGATAAAGCATCTCCTTCTTGTAGACCATTTTGGATAGGAAATCTATCAGACAGATGTTTACTTATACGTACTTTACCATACGTTTAGTTTAAACACATTTTAATCAGCCTGACTAGTATCTTGGGTATACCAAACTCTAATAGAATATTGTGCAATACTTCCCTCCTAACTGAATCATAGGCTTTCTTGAAGTCTACAAATGACAGTAACAAATCAAAATTTCATTCAGGAGGAAATTAAAAGGAGACTGAATTCAGGAAAGTGAGGAAAGAGATTGCTACGAAGATGCAGGTGTAGGTGAAAGGATAATACTAAAACAGTGAGATGGGATGGGGTGGTATGGACAGGATTGATCTGGCTCAGGGTAGGGACCAGTGGTGGTCTCTTGTGAACTTGGTAATGAACCTTTGGGTTCCATAAAAAATACTGTGAAGTTCTTGAGTAGCTGCACAACTAGCGGCTTCTCAATCAAGGCTCAGCTCCGTGGAGTTAGCTATATCAGTCTGTAAATGCTGAGTTCTCACAGCAATACAATGGGGTACCCAAAAGAAACCGAACAAATTTTTTTGTGGGCAGAGCTTTTGTAGTACTGCATTTTGCCGCTATGAGCGCATAGAGCTAATATTCCTGAGTCGATAAGCCGACTACCGTTCCTTCAGAAGGTAAGGACTAGTTTCGGCAGAGTTTATAGTGACAACTGTTTTGTGTGATCGTCGTTTTTGCAATGGCTGATTTTCGTGAACAGCATGCGGTGGTGAAATTCTGCTTTTTGCTCGGGAAAAGTGGAACAGAAACTCTTGAAATGTTAAAAACGGCATACAAGGACGATGCTATGGGGAAAACTCAAGTGTTTGAGTGGTTTTCCCATTTCAAAAATGGTGAAATATCAACTGATGACAAACCTCGTTCTGGTCATCCTTCCATGGCCCGAACACATGAAAATGTTGAAAAAATTTGTGAAATCATCAAGGAAGATCGATGACGGACCATTGAAGAAATTGTGGAGCTGTCGGGACTGACTTGGAGCTCAGTTCAGCGAATTTTGACAGAAGATTTGGGAATGAAAAGGGTGCTGCGAAATTCGTGCCACGACTGCTGACTGCTGAACAAAAACAAGGTCGCGTGGAAGCATGCTGTGCTTTGAAAGAAGAGTCCCAAAATGATCAAAACTTTTTTTTGTTTCCTCGAATGAAAAGAGACATGAAAGGAGAGCGTTTTCTGATGTTGCTGAGGTGAAGGAAAAAACGACGGAGGCGCTGTGAAGCATCTCAAAAGATGAATTTAGACAATGTTTTGAAAAATGGAATAAAAGACTAGACAAAGTGTATTAGTGTAAGTGGAGAGTACTTTGAAGGGGATTGAAGGTTTCTGCTTAAAAATTGAATAGGTTTTAAAAAAAAATAAGTTCGGTTTCTTTTGGGTATCCCCTCGTAGGAAACAAGATTACCATCTCCTGGAACATGAATCTAAACGTAATGGAGTAATATGCTGCCTCCAATCCAAAATGTCATACTATGGTGCACACATTCATACAAAACAGAAATGATGCAACCCACCTCTGCTAATGGCTTTCCTCCGATAGAATAAATCATAGATGTAACGTGATTTCTGATGGTGAATCTTGAAAATTGGCCATAATGCTTCTACTTTCCTCTTTCCTTCGTGAGGTTCTGTTTCCGCTGTAAATAAATAATACACCATCAGTGATTATAGAGAAATGGACAACTGATAGACAACTGGAAGTCTCACAATAATCGAGTTACATCAGTTTTCTTTCATTGGTTATTACTGCACAGTACCTTCACGCATCTTTTGTTCCAGTTCTTCTAAAGTCGGTTCAATTAGTTCCCATCCTTCCGGGGGTGACTTCTTACTTCTTCTTACTTTGGGCATAATGTTTATGATGAGAATATAATATTTAGCACAAATTAATAATAAAAGGCATACAATACATGTGAACTAACGCACCTGGGAGTACAGAAATTGAACTCAGTTCACTCCAAGCATGAAAATATGAGTGTTTTTCTTCTCTCTTCGCACTAATAACAAATACTCACACCACACTTCGCGTTATCAGTTTTCGCAGTTGAGGAACGGGTGTATAAACCCAATCAACCGACACTTAAGCAACAACAAACAACGACTACGCACGCTGCTCACCCTATTCTCCTTATTCCTCTTTATTCCTTCTACAACGCGCACGCTCCGCACACTGAACCACCATCCCCCATCGTGGGTACACAATAATTGAAATCACTGAAACCTATTGAATGCTAATGAACGAATAACACGAAAAATACTCTCTACCACTCCTCTCTTCCACGGTACAAATACTAACCGACCACCCCTTCCACAACCTACCACGGATTACTAACATCGTATCATAACACTGGTGTACAGCCAACAGCTCGACATTATTTTTTTTAGTTACTGCCATAATATAAATCAGCATGAAGCGAAGAAAGTATGCATTCCGAAATGCTTTTGTCAGAGGTGTCATATTCTGGTATGCGAAAAATCAATCAAACAGGAATGGCTATGCATAGTGTCAGCATTTCCACTCATAAATCGGCAAGATATGTGACTAGATGTTGGTAGTACTTCAGTATGCAATTGCTATGAAGCAGTTGAACGTAGCAAGTTAGGAAAAAACTCAATTATACGAAGTTGTGTATTGGTCATATTTTTCTGTTTCCTACATTTTAAGTTCTGAATTTTATAGTTTACTGTACGTTTGTGATAATATAAGGCGAAATAATGCCTAGAGGTATGTGTAATTTTAGCTTGAGAACAATGGATTTCCAGAATTCGTTGGATAAAATGAAGGTTTTGAGAATTTGCTTTAGAAGGTTAAGATGAGAGAACGAAGAACTTTGAAGACTACATAGTATGTAAAGAGCCATAGTTATTGCTAGAATAATCACACATGTAACGATTGTGATCTTAAGAAACCTAGCCCATATCATGTACGACAGATTTACAGCCTACTATCCATATTTTGAAAGAAAATAAAAGGGTTATGCTATCACCATACTGTGTATCCACCCCACATTAATTTTGAATGCCAGAACCAGCCTTTATGAGACTTGGTATGTATATTCTGTTACTTGAACCCATCTCAACGGCATACTATATAAATTCCTCCTGTCAGTCTGTATTGCCCTATTGTTGCTAGGCAGAGAATACACATGCAACAGAATTTTTGGATGCGTCAGTTTCTGTGCAGTCCATGTCATGTCAAAGGAGAGCAGGCAATTCTTCCCAGAACATCTTGTTTTTGTTGTTGTTGTTGTTAATTCCTTTGCTTTAAACTAGGAAAGTACACCAATCACAAAGGCAAGCACAGGCGATTCACCAGCCCAGAGGAAATAGAAGAACAAATGAAAAGAGAAGAAAAAGAAAGAAAATGGAGGGTAATGAAACGTTGTACTCATAGGTTTGGAGTTGCCATTATACTATCATTATTATATAGTAATATTCTGTTTTCATTTCGTAGGAAGAGAGGGGTGATACAGGTTCTAGTGAGGATGAAGCAAGAGGAAAAGATGATGGAGCCTCAGAATCTGAAACAGAATCATCATCAGAAGAGAGTGAAGCAGAGGCAATACTATCCTGAGTTCTTATTTAGATTTTTAAGCTGTAACATGTGCTATATAAATCTTCACATTGATAAATACAAATAATGTTCAGATTTTACATATTTATACCTAATTTATTTTTAATGTTGATAGGTTAAAGCCAAAGGAGTTGAGAATCTCATTCATGTGGAAAATCCTAACAGAGTTCAGAAGAAGGCAAAGAAATTATCTACCCTTAACGAAAGCGTCGATTCTTCTGTAAAACCTGAACTGTCACGTAGAGAAAGGTGAGAAATTTAAGGTCCCCAGCCCTCAAAAGGAAAAGTGTTGTGTGACTAAAGTTCAGATTTCTAGCATGTGTGAAAATAATGATTCATGTTGACCACAGATTAAGAAAAATAGGTATGATACTGATGTAATATTAGTATAAATCAGCTTTATCACTGAAGAAGTGGATTTTTATCTTGTGATGTATTAAAGAGCAAAAAATTAGGATGTGTTGTTTGAACTGTATGTAAGAATTCAAAAGAGATGGTGCATGATGATTGATCATGTCGGTGTGAAGTTCTCTGCACATGCATTCACTGGTTTTTTAGGATTCCAGAAGTTAAATAGACTGATTAACTGTTTCCTTTGAAATTATAGTTTCTTGTATGTATATTGAACATGGTGCTGTCACAAATATGTGAGCATTTTTTCAGATCTTTTGCTGTGAAAATGCCATTCCTAGGAGTGCTGCTGCGTGGAATCCCTCATATCAGCACAGTATCCATGTAAACTGTATACTGTGTGTTGCCTGTAATAATGTGGAAGCAGTTAACTGTGCAGGGATTTACCATGTGTAATGTGCTGACTTTCTACAGAATTTCATTACTAATTACTGTAAAAAAAGTGAGACCATATTGTATCAGATTTACTGGATTTTTTTTTTCAATTGACCTAATCCTTCCAGCCCCACTATGGCCCTTGGGGTCGACTCAGCCTCCAACAGAAATGAGTACCAGGAATTAATTAAATAATTTTCCTGGGGAGTAAAGTGCAGCTGATTCGTAAGACTGACAACCTTACCGCCATCTTTCAGCCGATTATCTAGATACTGTGGGACCCTCAATGTCTCACAACCCTTTCGGCCTTCATGACCTGGTACAGGGATAGCTTTACTTTTACTTACTTGAACAGCTCCCTTCTTTTAAGTATGCCTTGCAGCACATAAACAAGTTTTTCTTGATGCATTCTTGAAGTTCTAAAATGAATAAATAAACTCATACGTATAGAAACACCACACCACTGCTTTTACACTTGTCAAATGGAAAAAGGATTAAAACATCGTAATAAGAATTTCTGCTCTAACATTATTCTTGTAGGATATTCAATTTGTGATAAATTAATGCCAGATTTTTTTAAATGTAATATCTTGTGTGTCCACCTTGTACATAACATTCTCATTGCACCTCCTCTTTCAGGAAACAGCTAGATCATCAGAGAGCGCAAGCAGACTATCAACGGTTGCATGCTAAAGGGAAGACAGAAGAAGCCCGTGCCGATTTAGCCAGATTAGCCATAATCAAGCAGCAGCGGGAAGAAGCAGCTAAACGACGCGAGGAAGAAAAAAAAGGTAAACATGTGTTAGCAACATTGTGTACAATAATCAGGGTTAAAATAATAAGCATGGCAGTAAAATGTTTTTATTTTCCAGAAAAAGAAGCAGCAAAACAGACGAAAACGGCTCAAGTCCAAAGAGCACTTGGAAAGAAGACATGATTCCAAAAGCATACTTGAGGTGCCACCTACTCAGTGATGAGATGACCCAGTGTCAGGATTTGAGATTTCTGGAGATTAAATTTCTATTCTTGTGAGATTTGGATGAAAATATTCCTCTTATTCAATAATTTATCATTGCTCGAATTTTTGTGAAATACCTCTGTCATATGGTTAAATAGTTTTGTAGTGTGTCTGCTGTTGCTTTAGAAAGTTTAACCATGTAAATAATAAAAAATGTATTATTTAAGGAAATGTGGCATAAACATTAAATAATGCAGGAGATGTGTTAAGCATTATCTATACAAATAAAAATGTAAATGTTGGTTTGTTAGCCCTCGAAGATCTCCGAAAGTTCTTCACTGATTGCTTTGAAATTTTGACACAACGTTGCATTCGAACAAGCGCGTTTTTATATACCCATTATATAGATGTCACACCAGTGACAGGTAAAAACACGCGTCTTTTGAAAACCGGAATTGGAATTTGGAATTCAGAAGAGTGACCCCTATGGAAACGCTAGAACAGACCATTGCATAGGAAGTAACAATAGCGATACTGTATCGAATCTCCATGGTTACGACGAATACACGGAGCGTTCCCACAGAGACAGTACAATAACAATGGGTCGTTGCGTAGGAATCGCGGAATCAACAAAGCAGCACATGGCTGAAGATATTTTCCTTCGAATGCGCAAGGATAATTCCAATATGAACATGGATTTCACAGCAGAAATCTACAATGAGGCGTTGATAACTATTGAGGATTTGTGCTTAGAAATCGCGAACAAAGTTCTCAATCAATTGGAAATGCCATCACCGAATCGATCTGCTGCTGCTTCGTTCAATGTAGAATTGCGTAGTGAACAAAATTACAACACGGGTGATCTTTTGTCATATGTGCAATCAAATATTCCTAAGCTAACGCTTTAGCAAAAAGGCATATATGATCAAATCATGCAAAATGTCAATAACAGGGTTGCAGAAATTTTCTTCTTAGATGCGCCAGGAGGAACTGGTAAAACGTTCCTAATTAGATTGATTCTGGCAACAATTTGATCCCAAAATGACATAGCCTTAACTCTTGCGTCGTCCGGAATAGCTGCGACATTGCTACTAGGTGGAAGAACATTCCGCTTTGAAATTGTCATTGAACATGAAATTCATTGAAAATCCCACGTGCAACATTTCCAAAGGATCAGGCATGAGAGAGGTATTGCGGAAATGCAAACTTATTGTTTGGGATGAATGCACAATGGCGCACAAAAAATCGCTCGAGGCTCTTGATCGATCATTGCAAGATTTGCGTGGAAACATCAGACCATTTGGGAACGCATTAATATTGCTTGCAGGGTTTTTCAGGCAAACGTTACCTGTAATTCCTTGATCGACACCAGCAGACGAAATAAATGCTGACCTGAAATGCTCTACTTTGTGGCAACACATAAAGACGTTAAAATTAACTACAAATATGCTGCGTGTCCAGCTGCAAAATGATCCATCAGCTGAGATATTCTCGCATCAATTGCTGGTAATTGGGAACGGAAAGGTGCCGGTTGATCTGACCTCAGGACGAATTTCATTGCCTCATAACTTCTGCAATTTAGTGATGTCAAAGGAAGAATTGGTTGAAAAAGTATTTCCCAACGTTGAAACCAATTTTAAGCATCACGATTGGCTGAGTGAACGAGCTATTCTTGCGGCCAAGAACAAAGACGTCTACGAACTTAATATCATTCAGTCTAACATTCAATGCGAGGCAGTCACATACGACTCCGGTGACACTGTTGTGGAAGCAGATGAAGTGGTTAATTATCCAACAGAATTTCTGAATTCACTCGATCTGCCACAGCAACGCGTGGCTGGGTACAGCTAGTCTTCTAATGAAATTCAACACAAATTTTTCTTCTTGTAGATTTTTAATATTCCCTGTTAATAAATGAGTATATGATTACCAAAACTTGCTGACAGCAAAGTGACTGCTTTTAACAATCTGATGTTCTGTTTTAACTCTTCTATGATGGGTCAGTATATTTCCTATCAGTACCTATTGCAAGCCATGAGAAGTTCATAGTATCCATGGCTGGGGGTCATTATTCCTTTGGCCCTCAAGATAGAGATCACCTACAGATGAGTGGAGCAGACGCTGTTCTGTTCAGATGGCTGCGGAGCTGTTGGGCAAGCAGTTTAGATCGCAGAATAGTCTTTGGTTGTAGATACATGATCTTTATTAAATGAAAATGTGATGCAGAATAAACTCTGCTGAGACTTTGGACATCCAAGAGAAGAGATCTGAATGAAAGACTGATGAAGGCGAATGACATGACTGCCTGTACTGAATGTCTAAAGAAAATATGTCATGATTTCCAGGAAGTTTTTAATGCTTCAATAAGGAACTTTCCATAACATGGCATACCAAAATACTTCACCCATTTCTCTACCCCCAAGGATCTCATCTTCGCATTACATTACTTGTTCCAGTTCAAAGGCTGCTGGAGATATACACTTGTTTGCTTGACCTCTCTGGTCATGATATCCACTATTTTGCATGATAACCATACAACTTCTTTCCAATAAATTTGTAAATGTCCCTAAACAACTTTAATATTGCTGTAATTCCCAATATGTGGTTCGCAACCCACAGATACATGTGAACAGTAAAATTCAGGACAACTTCCAAAGGCTACATTGCTGTTCTTTTATGGCCCTCCTGTAAATTTACATATACGAGTTACCAGGTTTTGAAAATAACCCATCCGGTTAGTCTCGTACAACATTACCCAAAAAATGTGTGCAAGAGAGACTAACCTATTTATCAACCCCTAGTAACACTTTCAGTAGATCAGATATTAGGATTTGTGAAAAAACGGGATATTCCTGACCTAATTCAGACTGTCCTGGCGGACACCTACTAAATACTCGTCAGAACAGTCCTAGCCATTTGACTGCAGTGAGGGTCCATATAAGTCACGGTGAAATACACATTGGGGGGGGGTTCATGAAATCTAGGAAGTAACTTATGTATTCATTCCATTAAAAATTTGGAAGTTCCCATCTACCACAGTTTCAGCAGATAACCCTTGAGAGACACTTTGAAATCACAATTTCTCCTGAGGATAAATAGCAATTTTCTGGAGGATATTCTTGTATGGTATCCACAAGTACTTGTACTGAGCCATCCTTTACTTATGCCAACAAGTATGAATGTAGGAATCATCCATCAAAACATTTTTTGCTTCGGCTCTGTTTTTCTAGTGTTCTTTAAGTATGAAATTATGTGCCAATGATCAGTACAGCAGAGCTCTACCAGACTACAGCGTCATATGCCAGAACACTGTAGCCTTTAGTGACAACGAAAGATGGCTGTCAATTTGCTGCAGGAACAGTTTTACAAGCCATGAAGGTGAAACCACCCACAGAAAAATATCCTTTGAATTCAGAAATGTGGAGAAAAATGAGCGATGACCACATTTAGAATCACAGAGTTCAAGAACTGGTTGTGAAGAGTACTATCTTCTGGGATATAACACCTTGCTAGTTCACTGAAAGTCAACTGACATTTTGGAGTAACATCTCCTCCATCTTCCAGGTTGAAGCAGTGCTTGTCACTTTCTTTCATGCTGCTTAGAGAACTTTTCATAATCACTGATGAAGGGAACCTCAAATCCTACGTGGTGATGTCAGTCTTTGAATTACACTGAATCATTACATGCAGTTCACCACTCTGGAAGTACCAAATTATTTTTTCAGCTCAACATCTCCTTATACAACTTCAAGCATCCTATCAAGATTCATGTTTTATGGCAGTAATCATTAAATTCTATGATGCGACACAAAGAGGCCACTTCTACCCTGAAGATGGAGGCAGGTTCCTTCAAACTGATACCATCTATTACACAGCAAACTACAATTTGCCACAAATATTAAAAAAGTGACTTGTGGGTTAATTCTGTAAGCCACCATGCAACATTAGGAGCTGGCATAGCTGTCAGTATAGTGACTGGTTACAGGCTGAACAACAAAGGGGGTCAGCGTTCAAATCCCGGTAGGATGAATTTTCTCCACGGCATCCAGACCGGCTGTGTCCATCCAACCTCCTATCCAATAGGTACAAGGGGGCATGAAGTGACCACTCGCATCCAGCTAGCATACAGGGAAAGAAAAAAAAAAAAAAGTGGATCTATACATCCACTCCGCCATATGCCTTCATGAAAGTGCTTAATTAGTTAAACACAGACTTTGCCCCTGAATCACCATATCTAGTGAATCTGTGATGTCTTGCAAAACATTTCGGACCATCTGACAACCTTTGTACCAATAATGCTTCCCATGCAAGACCTTTCTCATCATTTTCCTTACATCAGGTCATATATCAAAATAATCCATAACTGAAGATATTTTGTGGAAATTTTTAAATGCATGGAAAGCGAAAGCACCAGCACCCCCATTATCATTAAACCATATACACATGAAGAGAGCGTCTTGAACACAAAAATCTTTCCTTCGCCTGTACAGCTTTTGCTCTAACATTCTTCACTCAAATATATGCTGGATTTTACTGAAAGTGCATCCAGGCCTCTGCATTAAAATTATCCAACAGTTCAGAAGTGGTTTCACATGTAAGGACATAATGAACTTTCCCACCTAAAAGGCAACACTTTAAAAAACCAAGTCCCTGAAACTTTTAAACACTGACCACGTGCATACATAAATCCATGAACAGCACAATGGTGGATGACATTTCTTGTTACCTTAGAATCAAATTCGAAATTAAAAAAACATTCAGTTGTTGGAAAGGGTTTATTGACAAAATGGTACCACTACATAGTTAATTATCAGAAAGCAGCAGCCAGAAGTTCTTCCATCATGACTTTTTCTTCTTAGAACACTGTTGAACTAAAAATAAATAAATTGTACTTGAAAAGAATATTCACAGAGAAAAACACTGCAACTTCAACCAATACTTACAATCTTTCATAAAATTTTAAGATATTCATTTTGCAATGGGTTTATGAACTACCTTCCCATTTACATGTGCAACGAACACTGCCTCTAACAAAAGCAGAAATGATTCTGACCTATACCCACATTTAGTCAAGACAACAGAAAAAAAAAAGCCAAGATTGATTTAGTTGCACTGAGCTCCTCAGCGCATTTTACCAGCTGGGACTGAGTAACGTTTATAGCAAAATGCTCTCTAAGGGTCTAACCCAGCAATTGTAACCTACCTACCTTTTCTGGTCTTACCTTCTTTCCTGCTACCACCATCTCCTTATCAATCTTTCGTGACGTTAAGACTAAAACATAGCCGAAGCACTTACGTACCTGCACTTTGTTCAAATGGGAAGAAAACTTAAAGCATATCCCAGCTTTCGGTAATTTTCACATCACAAATAAATGGCATTTACTGTACTGAGGCCATGGAAAAAAAAAAGTCCCAGGTATGCACTGGTGGACTGTGCTCGAGGCTTCCCACTTGTATTGCCCTCCAACAGCTGGCCCAAAGTGCCTCTCCACTACCTACAACTATCACTGCCACATTCCTATTATCAGAATGATTATATGAATGGAAGGCAATATGTAGAAGTATGGTGGATGGGGAATCACAACAATTCAAGGGACATGTGTTGGTGGCTGATACCTGGGACTTCTTCCTGTGGTCCCAGTATAGTTCACACAACACAGTATAACTATACGTGAATGCTGTGTTAGTAGTTGTGCTGACCAATCACGATACATATCCTATCTTTCGCTTGTGTGAACTGATCCGCTGCTTGGAGAAGCAACTCTTCCAACATGAAAATGATGACTTATTAAGAATTGTGGCAGCCAAAACTATATCCATGCAAAGACAAAAGCAGGACCTAAACTGATAAATGGGGTCAAATCAACAGCTTAGGTGTAGACGAGCAAAGGGCAATTTGGTTTACTTGCAGATGGCAAAAATAGAAAATGCAAGAGCCTCCAGAGATCACTAACTGCTTCCAAAGGGAATTACCGCCATATTACAGCTGGCTTCAACATAAAAACCAGGAAATGGGACCCTCAAATTTCACATATACTTTATACGTGTAATACAAGGGACCACACCCCACAGACTTAATGTGTAACAGAAGGGAAGTGATATGAACCACATAAAAGGTGCAATTTGCGAAATCTAAGGGGGTCTGAAGGCACCAACATACCAGTTGACTGGAGATGCAGGCTGGTGGAATTCAGGAACATTATGGAAAATTCCAAGATCAAAACAGGACCAAAGTTAGGATGAATACTGATGGGAAAACATGGATATTCAGAGCTGAAATTGGTACTGGTTCGGCAGGAACGGATGATGAACGCCACCACCACGAACACACGTCGGCACGCACTGCCATCAGCTACCCGCTCTCGCTACCCCTGACTGCCATGTGCCCCGCAACTGCACTGCTACACTGCCACCGCAACACCGAACCCCAACACAGCTTACACTGCAATCTGCCACTGCCTCTCTCGCTCGATCACTACCGCCCACCCTGCGGTATTGGAAAAACAGGGTTAGCCATCGAGCTACGGTTGCCTGAGCACCAAGGCTCAATTCCCAGCATACCATGGAAACAAACATATCACTATCAACTCATATAAGAGGCATTACAAACTGCTTCCCATTTCATTAACATTTATATATATAGGGTGTCCGGATGAAAGGTATCCAAAATATAAATGTATATCTTGGAAACTGTCATACATGTATCTGGTTTACGTCCTTGGAAAGGAAAACTCTGAAAGTTTATTTTCATACCCAGCTTACAAACATATAGCGCCACATTTTTGCCACCGTGTTAGGAATCACCTGGACAGAGAGATGTCTGGGGTATGAAATGGCAGAGGTGAACCAATCGCTTGGCCTCCTAGGTCGCCAGATTTAACCCCAGTGGTTTTTTCTTGTTGGGCTATGTGAAGAACATTGTCTACCAGGTTCTCAATGACCTTCAACACCTGAAAGCCCGCAGAAGGGATGCTGTGGTTATGACAACACCAAACATGCTTCAAGCCTGGATATTTGTTGCGCTACCAAGGGAGCCCACATTTAAATTTATTGAGAAAGTTATATATGCAGAAAAAAAAAACTTTGACAGTTTCCCTTTGTAATGGTGTACATCACTAACGTGTACAATAAATTCTTTCTGAGTTATGATTTTATTTTGGATACCTTTCATCCAGACACCCTGTGCATCACTGCAAATCTCTTGCTAACAATGCAGCTACTGCATCGGCAAATAATTATATTATGGGAATATGTGACTAATATAAAGCTAAATTCAGTCACCAAGTCTGTCCCTAGAAATCAACACCAACAATCTAGGCTGTGCCTATTAATACATTAATTCTGCCTAATAAAGTGGCTCCTCAGATTTTAAGCCATCAAAAATTCACAAAATTGTGTATTTTGTATTAAACAAAACGTTTGAGATGCTTAAGGGCCATGAAGCCAGACAAATGAACGAACATGGACATCATGTCACCTTAACACCGGCTTACCATGAGGCACATCGGTACAGCAATGTGCAAAATGCTATGCTGTTCTAAAGCGGGGAATTAAGCCTTGCACACCAACCACCACTTCACAAGTCGGGAATGCAAGTAAAGGCATCATATTACAGCACATTAATTTTATACAATACAATGTCATAACTACACACAAGTAACCAAAGCTAAAAACAAATTATTTCAGCCCTGAAACTCATACTCTTCTGCGAGTCTTAAGAACTTCAAACACATTACAATAAGTTCACACCTACATTTTTCTGCAGCATAAGCTACGGCTGTTTTGTTGCTTAGAAAGTAGTAACATACTTTCAAAATTTCTGTTAACTTGCACAATAAACTGTTACCATACCAACAGTGACCAACCCTTAATTAATATTAGACAGGAAGAATGATTCAAGGAATACGAATAACATACTGAAACTTAACATAAAATAGATACCTTCTAAACATTAAGATACCTATGGTAAATGGATATCTATTCAAATATCTGATTTCACAAATGTGGATAATTAATCCTGCCATTTTCTGTCAATGCAGCATAGCCTTTACACATTTACATTTCTGAATTATGCAGTATTTGAAAGCATACGCTAGGGTATTTCACCAGACCTTGAACACCTATATTCTATATGCAGTCCAAAATTTAATGAACTAATCAATTCCAAAGCTATGTAGACATGAGCCAATTTCAACGAGGTTTCTCCTATGGGGGTTGGGCAGCCCATAAATGTGTTTCATCAACCAGTGAGTTTACTTCAAAGAGAATGTTTAATGTGCTGGCAATTGTACAATAATCAAAACACATGGGAAAACCAGATTATGTTGCTAGCGAAGACAGACTTAACTTGTGCACCCTGTATACATCTGGCTGCTACAAGTAATGCCTTTCCTTTCTGCAAAGTTCAGTATTACATAATAACCATCATTTAGAACTCATAACTAATCAGACAACTGTTCTGATACATAATCACTGTCCAAAACTAAAGAGCAAGAAAAATAAGCAAGCTTTTAGAACAAACTAACCACATAAAATCACTTCCCACATATTAAAATAGCATGAAACTTGTGAAAACAATGACAATGAAGGGATACTGGAATATTTTGTGAACTCAAACCAAGTTGATACATAAACATTATTAAAAGAACTTCAGACATTATGCATGTTCATTATCGGCAAGGGTAGGCAGACAGAGCTATGCTGCTAGATTTATAACTCTTAAACACATACAAAATTATATGCACTCCAAATTATCAGACACTTTAGTCATATTAAACACAGAAAATAATTGAGTTAGATACAATAACATTTTTTGTTCAGCACTACAGAGTGATCAGTACCTTTCAAAATGCAGAAGTCTGCTTCCATCTCTATTCCACTAAATATAAAGTGCTGAAACCAATCACCTAGCAACCATCACCCTGAAAAAAAAAGTTGAGAGGTCAACAAATGCAACAGAAACACAACATACTAGTAATCATTTACGATGTTTCTTAAATATCTGGTTATTTCTTAAGTTTACTGTTATAACAGTGAATTGCATGTTTCAGGGAAGTGATATGTTAGCTTAAGCAGCATTACACCCGCTGAGCACTTGCTCACACCAGCTGCCAATGGTATTTTATGTTTCTTACTTAAAAGGACGGCTCATTTCACTTCACAACTTTTGCTCTGTGGTTGGCGATGAACTAGTTTCTAGTGAATTCTTACTTAGTAACAGCTTTACACTTTTTAAATGCAAAACTGAAAGACAAACAGCTTATGAATCACACATACTACTTAAAAACTCAGCCAGCAAAAAATAAAATATACATTCTCAAAACCATGCAGTCTTGCAGACAAATGCCAAAGTTATGGAAGAACTTCCAGCTACAGGTGCACCTTGAATACAGAGACATGTTCCTCAACAACGCTTGTGTCCACATAACTCGAGCAAAGAGGCAATGTGGCCCTTAATGCAAACTTACACATCCTCAAACATAAATCATTGTATCTGTAAAGAGCAAAGTGCAATGGCTAATCTCAGCCTTGGCTGGGAGTGTTTCAATCTTGAGACCCAGATAATGCCACACATTCTTCAGAATTCAAGCTGACATACCAGAATATTTACCTTTTCATTTTGACTTGGATCGTGACTTGCTTTTGCTTTCACGAGGAGATTTACTGCGGGAATGAGATTTCCCACGAGAACTTTTGCTGTCTGAGCGTGACCTGGAACGGCTGCGAGAACGCGTGTATGAGCGGCGACGTGACCTTGAGCGTGAATGGCGGGAACGAGATCGAGACCGACTCCTGGTGCGAGAACGACGACGAGAACGGGAACGAGACCTGAAAAAATTTTAAACTTGCAAGAATTACATGGTATAAACTGCAGCACACAGTACACTAGTCAAAAGAGAATATAGCCCTTTCATTGTTTGTAAATGCTCTTTTATCTTCACTGTTCATATGTTAGGCAGCTCAGCATTTTCTCACAGCGACTCTGCTGCTCGCTTATGCACCAGAAAGCCCAAACATTTTCGCAGCATCCTGGTGGACTGCAGTACTTCATAGTAACAAAACCATCAATAAAGAATCTAAAAATACATAAAGAATAGCAAAAATTTCTGAAGTAGCTGTATGCATGATTTGGTAACAGAATACACGAAAGAAATATTGTATTACAACAATCTCGTAAAAAGAACCAGAGAAAATTGCTGTCATGAAGCACACTACACTTCCAACACAACACTAGTAGTAAACTAAGCAAGGACTCAAGAAAAGTTTGTGAATAATAATAAGGCAAAGAACTGTTTGAATATACCAACCTCCTCCTACGGCTATGACGACGATATGGAGATGATGGTCTTCCATATCGAGCCATCTGGACACGGAGCTCCCTTCCATCCAGAAGGCGACCATCCATTGCATCCAATGCATCCTCTGCATCGCGCTTATCATAAAATCTAGTAACATATACAATAGACAATAATTCAGATGTAATAAACATGTATTTACGTCAACTTCACCTTACTCCACCCACTTTGTACAATGATTCAACTAACTCCTAACATCGAATGAAACAAAATTTAATGTTATTCCGCTTCGTATGGTGCTTCAACTAACTACCAACAAAATTCTAAGCTGCAGAAGCACCCCTTTCCTACGATAGTTCAGTCTTATATACTTAACTTAAAACCTAACATTCTATGTGCATTATTTAAGGTATGCAGGGTTATGCATACAATTACAAAAAGTGTGGGTGGCTTGAAACTGGACACCTCCAGTATACTGTACCAGTATACCACACTGTATACTAGACTTGAACTATTACGCTAAATTAAACATTTTATACTTGCGCTTAAATACAAACCACGACTTAAAGCTATATCACATTATATAATTATTCAATGATCACTAATACACTCCATTATCGGGTGCACACACGCAAACCACGGAAAAGTACTCTCTGGCCGCCATTACGAAATTCTCTCCTTGAAACAACGTATTCTACGGTTGTGTGGGCAAAGGAAAAAACAAAATTTCATAACCTTTGTCGAGCTACTCACCTCACAAAAGCAAATCCTCTGCTCTCTCGTGAAAATCTATCGCGTGGGATATAAATATCACCTACTTCACCACATCTCTCAAATACGCGACGCAAATCCTCAGGCGTTGTTCGATAGGTCAAATTATCAACCTTCAAGGAAACCATTCCTTCTATACGTGGAGGTGGCCTTCCGTAGCTCATTTTTGTTGTCCTTCGTAAGCAGTACAACGAGAAAACAATTCCCGACAGAAATGATGGAAACTATAAGCGATTACAGTTACAGGCCAACTCCAACACCTACAACGAATCTTACACTACAAACGATGACCTCAAAATGGCGGATTTTATATAGAAGAAAGACGCGGACGAATACAAAACTGCTGTAGCCATGTAAGTGACTAAGTTAATTAATTGCTTATCCACCTTCATAACGGAAAAACTAGGTAGGATACGCATCAAATTAATTAATATAGTATTTAATACATCATACTCTTACAACACTTGCTATGTTAGTACTATTTTCATTTTTATATTGACTTTCGGGAAATAATATAAATTAGCATTTGACTATGTTAGTGAAGCTACATGGGCTTTTTTTCTACTAACCACCAAAATCAAATAGAAAGCTAAAACAAAGAAATACACTAACCTCACAAATGCAAATCCCCTGCTCTCTCGGGAAAATCTGTCCTTTGGAATATAAATATCACCCACACTGCCAAATTTTTCGAAAACACGGCGCAAATCTTCTGGTGTTGTACGATAAGTTAAATTGCCAACTTTCAAAGAAATCATACCGTCTATTCTAGGCGGCGGTCTTCCGTAACTCATTTTAACACAAAAATACAAACAAAATAAATATATTATATTCCTTGTATATTATACTTGGTTATAAGCGACCCACTTGGCCATAAAGTTACATTCCAACTACAGGTAAATTTCAAATACGAAGCAGAATTATTACATTCAACAATATGGCGTCAGCGGATAGCGTGTGACGTCAGTTACCATGGAGATTTCTCCTCCCGCATCAACAACTTTTTAAGGGACGTGATATTTTTAACAGTATATTCAGATTTCTATCACCCATGATTTTTGTAACACATTTAATATAGAAATCGAGTAATTTTAGGAAAGTTGTATATCAAATATCATCTACTTTGGTACGTGACCATCTTTGTTTATACCTAACTTATGAGCCAACGGTTACTCCTGTTCCAATTCACGTGCTCGACATCTGCTACCGCCAAATTTGATTTCTGTTACATGCATTTCGAAATGCGGCACAAATCAGCATTTCTAATTTATGTTTACAGGATTATCACAGCTGGTAATTAAAACTACATACTATAAACTTAAATGCATGTTAACCGATCTGTCGGAGAGAGAATTGTAACATGATAGTAAACGTGAGTGTAAGTCCCATAAATTTGCAAACCAAATGCCTTAAATATAAATTGGTAAGACCTGTGATCTTGCTCAGAACTTCACTTCACGTTAGGCGAATTAGGCTGCTGTCCAGGGTCCACTGGTTTTAGGGCTCCCATTATGAGCATTGTTTCACATCTGGGTACACACAAAATACATACAAACTGGTTTCATTTTGCATTGGTAAATTTGACATGAACTGCCTCTGGTCTGAATATATAAGAAATGCTGAGTAATATCTTTTGAAAAATAATTTGAAGCCAATATAATTTTTAGATTGTGTTTTGATCTATTCCTAACCTTTTCCTTTTCCTTAATATACATGATTTTTCTACTGGTATGAAATTGTAGGGTGTTAAGCCAGAGGGATTCCAAGATCATACTTTGTCCAGGGTTGACCATTGTATTAAAGCAGCCCTACTTATGGTAACTTATTGTGGCAGCCAATTTAAACATTAACAGGGCTGAATTCTGTAAATTACAGAGGATATCCTATATAGGTACAGCCGGAGCTATGAATACACCTCCAAAAGTTGCAGTTAAGTGCTCCTAAGACTCAGTCTTCTCCATCTAATGATTGAGGTGGCCACCCTCACTGGGATACAGGGATTCAACTACAAATGAACTAAGCATATCTTAGGCACATGAACGAAAATACCTAGGTTCCCACTTCACAGACCATTTAACACAGTGTGGCTGTAAGGATCAGGTCAATTGTAAAATCCAACAACCTCATTAGAAATCAAACTCACGACTTCTGGCTTGAACACAGTGCCTCAACCAACTATGCTACCATGTGCCGCAATTTTACAGATGATCACAGTACACTGTAATACACACTATATTATTTCCATTTAGTTTTAATGGTTTCGTGTATGATTCCCGCCTAGTTTCGTTAATCAGCGACTGAAACCTGCCGTAGGACTGGCTGTTTCTTATGGAATGTAGTTTGTATGATGGTATACTGTGATCATTTTTATACTCCAGGCATAAAATGGAACATGAAACTCAGCGTTGCCTTAACCCTTCCGCGACGGATAGTATTTAAATCATTTCCTACCGCCAAACCGACGGGGTATTTAATTATTAAACAGAAAAATGCACTTATCCATGAAAAATTTAGTAACTCTCGCAAAAATTGGTATATTGAGATAAAATTTTCACAGAAATATTCATAAAGAAACGAAGAACAAAACTATATATATATTTTTCAATATAATTATGATAAATAATATTTTTTTACTCACTCGAACTGCTAAAAGTTGAGTTTGGTGTGGTAATCCTGAAAACACTGGTCAATACATAGCCCAACATCACAATCACTGCACCAGTACACGGTTTCTTTTCTTCTTTTGTTTTTTGTACACACTACACATCGCCTTTGTGGTCTAGCCTTTTTTCCTGATGGGGGAATTTTACTAATAAAATGTCTTTCACGAAGCCGGGGGATGGTGTTATCTGATGAATGACGTCGACCTTGTACTCTACGTGCTGCCTGCTCCTGGTCCGTAAACTTCAACAGCAACCCTTCTACCAGATTTACTCTGAATGCTAAGTGGTCTGTCAGTCTTTCCTGATTCTTGTTATAAATTATCATGGCATTTACCACTGTCGCATTCAAAAGGCGTCTGAAGAGTTTCATGTACCACTTATGAAGTCTTTTTCTTTCCACGTTGTAGTACTGTAAAAGCTGATCTTTCAAATCAACGCCACCCATCATTTCATTATAATCAATTATAATTTTTGGTTTTTTTATTTCTTTGTTTCTCTTTATATCTGTCTGTGTGTCGGCATTGTGAAATGTAGAGATCACGGAAACTGGTTTTTTGTCTTGCCACTTGAGAACAGTTATAGGACCTGCGTGCTGAGCTATGATCTCGCCCTTTCTCAACTTTGTGTTTTTTACAGTTGTTGGGACACCCTTTCTGTTCAACCTAAGGGTCCCAACACAGTCAGTGCCATGATTTTTTAANTCAAAGCTAACACTGCGCAGGTCGGTGAACTGCACAGATGTCGGTGGCATACGATTATTTAAAGGGTCGGTGAAGCACACGGATGTCGGTGCGGAAGGGTTAACTGGACACAAACTGGGCTACTGTGATGGTTCACGTGTGTCACCCTGCATTCCTTCAACCCTAATATCATTACACCACAGTAAAAATCCAGCCAAAAACACACTACCAAAAAATTTAAAATCACATATTACCAGATAATAAAGATTAAAACAAACAGATCAAATGATAACACTTCTCACTTGTATTCAGGAGGTGTCCAGTTGAAATCTTGGCTAAGATGTTGACCATCCTGGGGCATCTTGTGGATTTCCTCAGTCCTTCCAGGCAAATTGTCAGAGAATACTTCAAGTCAGGCCATGACCACTTCCTTCCACATCATTCTCCAATTCATTATTCACTAAATATCACACCCACACTGTGCAGTCCTGGTACTGACACCCTTGTTAAACATATCATAAATAAAACAAAACATATATATATAAATATAAATTAATTTATGTAAAATAATTAAACAAATAAATAAAATGAATAAGGTCATTACTTGACTTTACTTGACTAGGCTTCTTAATTGCAAAGTTCACATGATTTTCCCTCATAAAAGATTAATTTCAGTTTTTAGTAAAAGATAGACTTAACATACAGGACAGTGTGACAAACAATTACCGTATTTACGCATGTATAGGCTGCACATTTTTTGCCAAAAATTCAAGAGGAAAACTGGGATGCGGCTTATATTCGAAATATTCGAAATCACACTTCATTTTAAAAAAATTAAAATTGCCAAATTTTGGAATAATTTCTACTCCTGAAATAATATTTCAAGAAAAATATTTGTTCTATAATTTGTCTGAAAATTGTGCTGCGGCCTATACACGCACGCGGCCTATACATGCATAAATACGGTACTTTGCAGTTCTTTATCAACTGATGAGACTACACTGCATAGAATGAGGTAAATATGGCCGTGCATGAATCAGAAGAATGTGAAAGGAAGCCATCGTTGCCTACGTTAATCCTTGCAAGCCTTACGTTCATCATCATCATCATCATCATCATCACTGGCACGACAGCCCTTTGTGAGCCCTGGCCTTCCTCAGCATTGCTCGCCATTCTTCTCCATTCAATGCTACATTCCTCCAGTTCTTTGCACCCAAAATTCTTATGTCCTGCCACACACATTCTTCCCATCTTAATCTTGGTCTTCGCACTCTCCTATTTCCTTCTGCTTTAGTAAGCCTTACGTTCATCTAAATAAAATTCAACAATTTAGTTCCTACAGCGCCCAAAACACTGCATCTCCACTACAAAGAACAGTCATTTAATGTCGCTCACAAACCTAATCACTGTTTACTGTAGGATGAACATGAAACACATAAATACACTGTGTGGGGAAAATGCAGAGATTCTGAATGTTAAAGCAAGTGGTATATATAGTTACCACTTAGCTTCAAACGGTTAAGGCACCACTGGTATTCTCCTGGTGGTTGAAAAACTACAAAATATCTCAGACAGAAGCCACCCCAGCCAAGTTCAGATCTGATGGAGGTGTAATATCCAGTCCAGAATTTCTGATAACAAAATAGCTATGTCAAATTTGAGGTTTTCATATGTATAGTCATTGAAAATACCGATATGGATCTTTATCGGTGCAACACGTCGCATTAAATACTAACATAAAATCTTTGCCTCAGATTGGTGTTATAGTTAAAGTAGCAAATACATAATTAAGATAAAAGCTAGATATAAGGGTATACTATATATATCAAAATGTTGAATATATTATTAAAACATATTAAAAGTATATTAAAAAACGTTAGAAAAATATATTAAAGGATTTTGATGGTAGATTAAGAATGTGTATGTCAACTTAAGTATTTAGGTTTCACTGCTAGTGTAGAAAA